AGATATATGTATATGTATATATATATATATAATTTTTTTTTTTCCTTAGGTAAGTCTCCAAAGGCGCCCAAACAGAGCCCAAGGCAAAGAAAAGTTAAAAGGTCAGTCGGTTCTGATGACTAGAGTGTTTTGAATTTTTTTTTTATTTCTTTGATTTTTTTTTTCATGAGTTAGCAATAACAATACTAATTGTCATCGTGTGACTGTGTGAGCGTAAATAATTTATGCGAGTGATCACATTAAAAATATTTTTTTTTCTTGAACAGAACAAATTAATTAAAGCAATATAGAGGCAGGAGGCACGATTTTAAAAGATATTTTGTTGGATTGAGAGATATATTTTAATTTGAGATTTTGGGAGTAAGACTATCGGAATGATTTAAGTCATGTACCAACTCAAGTATTTTAATCAAAGTTCTAGTTACAATGGGAAAAGATAATTCATTTTTCTATTATGATGAACTATTTACTATTGAAACAAAAAATAAAATTGATCAAATAAATTCCTTTACAAATAAACAAAGCAAAAACAACCTATCGAAGTGATCTTACTGATTAATATTTTGATTCACAATAATACTCAAATTTAAAATAAAGTTTTGTGTATATATAAACTCTTTGCACTTTGATAGTTTGCTTGTTGTTTTTGGAAAACTATTGTATTTTGTTTAAAAAGTTTCTTGACAATATAAAGCAATTAATTTACAACTAATAATTTAAAATATATTCTAATGGAAATTATCAATTACAATCGTGCCTCTTTGTTTCTTTAAATTTTGTGTTTTTTTTTTCAATTACAAATTGATAAATTATCTATTTACTTTAATTGACTCAGAAAACCATTTAGAGTGAAATCGGATCGTCCATATATACATATATAAATATATTTATAATAGTTATTTTATAAGATGTGATTTTGTACTGGTTTTAAGTTTAAATTAAAGAAGAGAGAAAAAGGTGGAAACAGGTTTGTTTTATTTAATTTATATCTTTATTATATATTCAATTTGAGTTTAAAAGTCGGGCGTTACATCAATTAAAATAGTATGAGAGTTTTTAGAAATATATTAACTTCCCGTAGGGCAAGTTATAGTAATCGCAAAAAAATCGAAAATGAAAATTTTTATATATCTTTACGTTTCAAAGGTTTCTGAACATTTTGGCATACCTTAGAAAAAATGGATGTATGTGTGTGTGTGTATGTGTGTGTATGTATGTGCGGATACAAATTTTCGTCGACGATTTCGGGAACACGAATCAACCGATTTGAATAATTTAAAAAACATTCGATTCGTATTGATAAGGAGACGTGCTGATTAGTTTTTGGCAAAGGTAGGTCTAGCCGTACCGAAGATACGGGGCAAAAAGTGCCGAAAACGGTAACTCAGTTTTTAAGAGAACGGAGCGTCCGATTTGAATAATTCAAAAAACATTTTATTTGTATTGATTAAATGAAGAACTGTTCAAAATTTTGGAAAGGCAGGTCCAGCGACTTTGGAGATATGGAGGAAAAAGTAAAAAAAAAAAGAGCCATTTGGCGGTCAAAAATGATCATTAGACATATGCACATCAAATTATCAGATATTTTATAGAGATTTTAACAATAAGTATAAATTTTGTTTACATTCCTATGGGTTCCGTACCAATGTTTACCCGTTAGACAGCTACGCGGCGCTTATGCGCTTTATATTTTGTCACTATGCAGTTAAAGCAGTATGATTGCTTTGAAAAAACCTTCAGAATTTCCAAATTTTTTTTTTAAAGTAATTTTTTGGCAAATTTATAGTGTCTCAAAAATCTAATTTTTTCGAAGTAAAATTTTTTCAAAAATGTTAATTGTTATTAAAAAAATAATAATTTCTGGTACGGGAAGTTCCAGCAATTTGCCTTAAGGCACGATGCCTTAATTGCCTTAAGACAGAATTCCACTTACAGCTAGTTTAAAATTCATACGTTTTGGCTAGCATCTTAGCCTTCATTCAGTGGCAATCAATATAAGTATAAAAATTAGAAGTAAATAAATAATATGTAAGAAAATTCATAGAAAAACAATAATAATAATAATAATAATAAATCACTTACAATTTTGTACCCTAATTGATGATAAAACACACAATAAACATGAATAACTTAACAAGTTGTCAAAACTATGTATGTATTTACTATTCGGATTCTAAGATAAAAATGTCACGTTTTTTCTTGAAGCGGTTCTTAACATGTGTTTCATTTTATAAGAAATTTTAATCTTGTTACTTTTTAAGAAATTTAGGAACCGTGTTTGTTTCGTTCAGGACCGTATTGTCGAATCGTTTCGGCTATAATCCTAGCCTTCATTCAGTGGAAACCAACCAAAACCAAATTTAGTAAATGTATTTTGTAAAGTTTGTATTTTTTAATCATATATAAATGTTTGCATGGATGACTTAAGAGTGGTTTACCACTTCAGTAAAAACTTCTGAATGTGAATATATATTATTACATAAAAATCGGTCAAACTATTTTGAAGCTATTAACTTCAGAAAGTTATAAACAAAATAAACTAAAAAACATTCACAAAAAGTAGGACATTTATTCAGTTATCGAGCTGAATGAAAAATGACTGGATTATTAACACAACTATCACAAAATAAGCAGGAGGGTGAAAATTTAAGGTTGTATATATTTTTTGCAATATTTAAAATAAAGCATGGTTTTGGATTAACTCTGCTTTTTTACAGTTTGAGCTTTTGGCTTGTACTAAAAGGCTGCAGATTTATTTCATTTGTTTCACATTTTATTTTGTTTTTATATGCAGGTCGAAGAAATCTAAAAACTAGAAGATTTTATATTTAATAGTGTAATTTAAGTATTCATAATTTATTGAGAAGTGCAAGGCTGTGTGGCTGATACATCTTACAAATAATAGTTTTAGAAGAAAATGTACAAAGTAAAAAAATAAAAATAAGAGAAAATAAGTAAAG